AATGTTTAAATGTTTAAAGCAACTGAGGAGTTGATGATGACTAGATGATCCCATCTAGTCCTTCTCTTTCTTTAGGAATAAGGCGTGGTTAGCCATTCACCTCAGGTAAGGCAAGTGCTCCCAGCCTAGTGGCTCCCCCAGGCCCCATAACCTCTCTTGCAGGAGTTCTGGGTTGGCCCCCTCTCTGTCATCTCCCATGTTTTTCATTTCTTCTCTTCCTAATCCAGAGCCAGGTACTAAAATGGAGACTGGTGACCCAAGTAAGGAAATGCAGATTTGGGGTACATTAACATTTTTTTTGTACTGGAGATTGAACTGAGGAGCACTCGACCACTGAGCCACATCCCCAGCCCTATTTTGTATTTTATTTAGAGATAGGGTCTCACTGAGTTGCTTAGCACCTTGCTTTTGCTGGGGCTGAGCTTTGAACTTGCAATCCTCAGCCTCAGCCTCCCCCGCCACTGGGATTACAGTCGTGCACCACCATGCCGGGCACATTTTTTAAAGTAAGATGTGTATATGGTAAAACCCCAAGCAAAAAAGGAAGAAGAAAAGTGAAAATCTCCTTCCACACATCCCTCACCCAACCCAAGCTCTTTCTCCAAAGACTTACTCTTAACAGTTTCTTACCTCTCCTTCAGAAAAAAAGTTTCCTGAAACCTGCATTCTAATCTCAATCATACTTCTGCAGCTAGTACACAGTTTAAGTGACACCTTATTTCTGTAAAGATAATTTTTCTTTCTTCTGAACTATTAAGCCAATTTAGAAGCATTTAGCAAAACTATTTGCCAAGCAAATTAAAGTATTGAACTTGTTTGCAGTTCATCCAAGACGAAGATGAGATATTATTTTAATTCCCTCACATAACAGCCGCCTCTTCTCCCCGACTCTGTTCCCTAATCACTTCCCACCTCATCTTCTCTTGCCCAGATGAAAGCAGTCAAAAAGTTCAGGAAGACAGTTGCAAAGACCTAGCAATATTTCCTCCAGGAAGTAAGTGAGTGGACAAAACCGCCTCCTTCCTGCTCCGCCAGCCTACCCTGGCTTCAGCCCTTCATGGATGCAGCACAAGGCAATGCAAACAGGGAACGGCCAGAAGGTCCTGGCACAGGAATCCTTGCTAGCTACAAAATAACATCCTTGTTAGTTACATTCTAATTAACCTGTTAGGATGTAATTTTGAGCACTTATTGACGTTGTATATGTTTTGTGTGCCTGTGTGTTTATTGAGGGTGCTAATTTTTCTGTTTATAAAGAGAGCCAAAAGAGTCCAATGCTAGGAACAACTGGACTAAGACCTTAATTTAAAAACACCTTAAGAGATCTGTCACCTAGATTTTGGGACAACCTTGGGCAAAGGTCTCCATCTTCTTACTACCACTTACTTCCAGGATCATTTCCATCCCCACTTCTATTATTTATACACCTTCTACTTAAAGCCTGGGAGATCCTCCTGACTCTCCAATTTGCTACAGGACTTTCAAACAATCTAAAACTCACTGAGTGTGAAGCCGTTTATAAAACCTAGAGCAATGTCTCCAAAAGTCTGAACAATGTAAGAAATGTCCACTGTATGCTTGAAGGAATACTTTCAATAGATTTTTAAAAACCCTGCATGCTGTTCTTTGGTTAAAAGAATTCCAATACAGATTCACACATGAAAGGCCCTGAGAAGTCCTGTATTGAAGAAATCTATTTGATGTTGATTCTTTCATTCATTCAAATATTCAAGTTCCTACCATATGATATGTTATTCATGTTTTTGAATCATAAAACATGCCCTTGTGGTCATAAGTTATTTTAAAACTTTAAAATTTTATTCATGTAGATTATTGTTTTGTAATTTTTAAATATTTTATTGCCAATTGTTTCTCGACTATTGGCTTTACCGGAGCTTTAGCAATGAGTAGGATAAATATGGCTTTTAATTTTAATCTGAAGAGCAGATAATATACAAATGAAACTTAAAATTTCAAACAGTTCTAAAGATGGTCATAAAGAGTGATGTGGTGAGGGTATGTACTTTAGATGAGGTAGACAGGGAAGTCCCTCTCTAGGACAAGACATTTGATCTGAGACTTAAATGACAAAAAGAAGCCAGCCATGTGAAGGTATGGGGAAGGGTACTGCAGGCAGAGGGACTAGAAGATGCTGATCCTGAGGTTGGAGTGAACCTCTCATGTTTGGTGAGATCTGATAGGTAGGAAGGAGCCATGTCATTCAGGACCCTGTTGGTTATAGCAAGGCATTTACTTTATGCAGCATTTGCCAAACGTAGTTGGTCATAGAACTTTTTTTTCCAGTGTGAAAGTATCTATTAACATCCCATAGAATTAGTATGCTGTGGAACACAGTTTGCAACACCCAGATCTGAAGTGTTACCCCCTCAAAGTGTTGACATCCTCTTGGAGGAATTTGCATTCTGACAGGGGTTAAACAGAATAGAACACCAATGTATATTTGAAGGCTTCAGCTAGCAGATGGGAGAGGATGATCATCCTTCCTTTCCTCTTTTGATTTTTATTTTGAATCATAAAACGTGCCCTCGTGGTCATAAGTTATTTTAAAAACTTTAAAAGTTTATTTGTATAGACTATTGTTTTTGTAAGTTTTAAATATTTTATTGCCAATATGTTTCTCGACTGTTGGCTTTTTTATTACATCCTAAAAAAGTTTCGAAATCAGCAGGATTGAATGACAGAAAGAAGGGAAGGGCAAACAAGTTTAAGATACTTCTGTGGGGAAAAGAGAAGAGCAAGGGGTATGAGTATCTTTGGGCCACTATGATGGAGTTAAAGATACAGGCCACTTAGTTATTTCTTATCCTCTCTGGAGAGTGTAAGCAAATGGGCATGAGCCTGGTAAGAGGAATTGAAATCAGAAATCAGGAAGAACCTCAAGACTGGAGAAAAATGTAAGACTGCAAGGAGTTACTGAGAAGTGGTATGAAATCTTCAGGAACCTTTTAGAACGTGGACAAACTCATCTGCCTGGAGAGATTTTAGGTTAACTTCCTGGAATCTCATTTTGATTCAAGGCAGTGGAAGTGAAAATAGGAGGGTTAGGAAATTAGTCACAGAGTCTAGGAAAGTTAACAAGAAATGGTTTTGTCATGTGAAGTCAGCTTCCAAACAAATTAATAATAGCTAAGATTTTTTAAAAAGGGATAAAAATTGACATTTATTGAATGCTTCCTACATTTCAGACGACCTACTAGTTGCTTTTTGTGCATTATTTAATCTTCACAACACCTCTGTGAGGTAAAAAACAAATGATCTCTATTATGTAAGATGAAGAAGCTGGGGACTTGAGTGGTTAAATAACTAACTCAAAGTCACGCAGTGATTAAAGGACAGGCCTGAGATTCAAACTCAGGTCAGTTTTAATCTGGAGGCATAGCACTTAGACCTTACTCTATATTGCCAAAATATGGAGGCAAAACATTGATCACTACCTTGTTGAGTTTGAAGATATTGAGGGGGGAAAGGACTCTTTTTTATCCTAAGTCTGGATACAAAGTTGTTAACCGGATTTTTCTTTTCTTTTTTTTTTTTTTTTTTTTGAGCTAAAAAGAACAGAAGCCGGGCGCAGTAGCACACATCTGTAATCCCAGCAGCTCAGGAGGCAGAGGCAGGAAGATCACGAGTTCAAAGCCAGCCTCAGCAATTTAGTGAGGCCCTTATAAGTAACTCAATGAGACCCTGTCTCTAAATAAAGTACAGAAAAGGGCTGGGTGTAGCTCAGTGGGTAAGCATGCCTGGATTTGATTCCCAATACCAAAAACAAAAAAAAAAAAAAAACAGAACAGAGATAGCACAACAAGAAGATTGGAATGCCTGTGAATGGGCAAGATTTCACAACGCTCTTTCAGTCCTGGATAACAGGACAGATTTGTAAAGCAGAGCCCAGGGCCTGGGAACTTGGAGAAAGGTACAGGTATTGGCAAAGGTACTCCCTATAGAGACAGAGAAGAGCAGATATGATCATGCAGGCTCTGGAGGAAGCATGTGCATGGCAGGGAAGGCCAGAGGATGGCAGACGAGAGGCCCACACAACTACCTGAAATGACTAAATGAAAAATTAAAACGAGAAATTGGGTGTGGTATGGTGACAGCTCAGGAGGCTGAGGCAGGAGGATCATGAGTTCAAAACAGCCTCAGCAATTTAATGAGGCCCTAAGCAACTCAGCGAGACCCTATCTCTGAATAAAATATTAAAAAAAAAAAAAAAAGCAAACAAAGGGCTGGGGATGTGGCTCAGTGGTTAAGTGCCCCAGGTTCAAACCCCAGTACCTGCCCCACCCCATTGAGAGATTGGGTGAACTGGTCACTGGAATCCACCTTAGCAAGGAGAAGTGGGAAGAGGTTTTTACCTACTGAGTTCCCAGCTCACATCCACCATCAGCTATCTGTCTCTATATAGCTCACCTATCAATACCTCCTTTATTTACCATGTTAGTTTTTATTGATTATTGAGGCACAGATATGATATGCAAAGGTTTTACTGTGGTTACCCACACATAAATATTACACTGCAAAAAATACCCAATAACCTAGATTAAGAAAGGCAATGTTATCCCCTCCCAGTTCACCATTCTCCCAGACTTCATGTTAGATCATTCCCTTTTATCATCTGTGTGTTTATATCTAAACATTAGATTACTTAATTTTACAGGTTTTGAACATTAAATAAATGAAACTATCCTGTATACATTCGGTCACTTGCCTCCTTACCTTAATTTCCTGTTTTTGAAATGTACCGTGTGAATGAACATTGTCGTAATTCCTTCATTTTTCACTGCCATGTAGCATCCCATGTTTTGGAACATGCCACAGTTTACCTATTCGTGATTCCATTGAAGGATAGTCATTTTTTCCCAGAGGTTCTTTTTGTTATTTTAAATAATTTTAAGGGAATATTTGGTACTCATCTGCCGCAGTCTGGCTGGGCACAAATGCCGCAGTCTGGCTGGGCACACAATCACGAGCCACCACACAGCTTGTAGATTCAAACAGCAACTCTTTATTCCCGAACTCACACCAGCCGTCTACAATCACGTTCTGGGGAAATCCACGTTCTCTGCCCAAATCCACCTTCTCTCCCAAATTCACCTCCACTGGGCTTCTATCTCCAAAATATACTGTCTGAATCCCGTGAGAACTCAAGGGGAACTCAGGCAGCAGGATACGCCCTATTCCCAGCAGGAATAATCTTAAACCTTAAACCTGGAACCTAAACTGGGAACACCCTAAACAAGATTATCTTAAAACCGGGAACACCCTAATCTGCCTTGGTCCTTGAGCAAGGTCACGTACATTCAATGTCACTGCAACATGTCAGCAACATGGGGTACGCTGGCAAGGAAATTGTCATACCTACTTGGCTAATGGCTCCCAGCATCTCCCCCCTTCTGATTAATTAAACAACAAGCAATGTGGCTTAAGGACCGTGCCTGGTAGGTTGTCCAATTCAACATATGGTTCTTACCCGTCATCGGAAAACTGACCTTTAGGCGTCAGCCTCCTGTCTTAGGTTGATACCACTGCAATTGAATCATACCCGTCACTGACTACCGGTCCAGCATACAGCCATACTTGTGGATAGGTCTATGCACCAGTGGGGGGGTGAGGTTCTTTGCCTCACCTCTGTTGGCCCCCAAATTTGGCCTTGGTGCCAGTGGGGGAGTGAGGTTAATGTGGCTTATGGACCGTGCCTGGTAGGTTGTCCAATTCAACATATGGTTCTTACCCGTCATCGGAAAACTGACCTTTAGGCGTCAGCCTCCTGTCTTAGGTTGATACCACTGCAATTGGATCATACCCGTCACTGACTACCGGTCCAGCATAAGCCATTGGCCCCCAAATTTTAGACCATCACTAGCAGAAGGGAGGAGGATACAGAAATGCCACGACACCAAGCCAATTGACGGCTCCTTGGGAAAAATTGCATCACTGGTGACACCATCAGCAAAGATATGTCAGCACTACCACAATTAACATGGGGTGCGCTGGCAAGGAAATAAAAATTGCATCACTAGTGACACCATCAGCAAAGATATGCCAGCATTACCACAATTCGCTGCACCAAACGATAGTTACATAGTCCAGGCAAGTTCTGCAAGCAGTTCAAAGCAGAGGAATCTATCAATATGTCCATTTCCTCCCAAAATCTGTTTCCTCCCAAAGTAAGTTGACTCTTTGATTGAGCATTACTTGTTGAGTTCTTCACCGGCACTGGGATGGAGATAGGAATTCTGGCAATGATGCTAAAGAGACATTATCCTGAAAAGAATTATTAAATATAATGAAAAGGAAAGGTGAAAGTAAACAAACAGATCTGTTAACCTACTTTAAAAACAATCCTTAACAGCTTTTTACCTAATTTAAATTAGTAAACAAACAGATCTGTTAACCACCTTTAAAAACAATCCTTAACAGCTGTTTACATAATTTAAATTAAACCATTTAAATCACGTGAATAAAAAAATAATAATAATTCGGATCCATTTTTTCATGAGCGCTCCTCATATAAGAAATATGGACATACGCACATACAGACATACAACACAAAACACAAGAGTGTACACAAACGTACAACACATAAGAAAATAGTAAAGGCCTTGTAGCTTTACCTAGGTGAAATCTCCATTGCAATGTTTAAAAACTCCACAGTCAAAAAATAAAACTGATCAGAAAAACATTAACCTAGGTTTGTATGAGCTCAAAAAATAAAAATAGAACCTTATGATGTGGAAAAATGCAATAATAAAATAGCTATTGAAAAAAGCATCCTGGTTAATCACTGTCGCAGATGTAAGAATGGCCAAGCTGGAGTTCTGGATATCAGCTGTTATGGATTTGAGTCAAATCATCTTCTTTTCGATCTGTAGAAACTGTTTTAGTTAATCTCTCTGGAATCCAAATGGGCTGCTGTTCTCCCTGTGGAAAAACACAAACAGACCCCCGACTCCAGACAATCACTGGGTCAGGACCTTTCCATTGTCCTGTTAGAATATCTTTCCAAAGTACTTTAGGCTTATGTACATTTTTTGGATACATATGCCTTTCCGCAGCACTAAGTCCTGATGAATCCAAATTTAAAAAGTTTAGAGTAAAAAGCATTATTTTAAGTTTATCTTTGGGGGATATATACCCCCTTCCAATTCCCTCTTTTTGCTTTAATAAGTATATGTCTGTATCTAATAGTTGTCTTAGCTTTTTGCATTTTCTATCTGAAATACCTTACTTGACATTTTCAACCATTTTTTATCTTATTTCTATCTTCTAGTTTTTTTTTCTAAGGTTTGTATATTTACCCTTAGTTGCTTATTTTCCTCCTAGTTTTTTTTTTTTTTTTTTTTTTTTGTGGGTTTAAAATTCTTGTCTTCCTACATTTTTTTTTCTACATCTTCTTTTTCTTTTTTTTAACTTTCTATACTTCTGTCTTTAAAGTTTTTCACTTTAAATTTTTAATCCTTTATCTAAATATCTTTTATCCTATTATCTTCCCATTTTTTTTAAGTAATGCCTTTAAGATTAACTAGGCTTCGAATGATGCAATAAAGCAATCTTTTTTCCGACATGAAGGTATCTCGACCACCTTCAATTTAACCTTTTAAAGCCTTTTAATTATCATCTATACTGTACTTTTAAATGTACTTTTTCACCACCTACAACTTCACTCTTTTAAACGAGGCTTAGATTCTGTTTAAATCGCTTCAATGTTAGTTTACATGGCTGCCCTTCAACCAAAGGCTTTTTTTTTTTTTAACTCCATTGAGAAGCTTTGTCTCAATCTGCCATGTACAAATACCTTTTTCTTCTTTCTTCCTTTCTCAAGCTTTTAAAGTAAGTCTAGTTTCCTCAAATTCTTTTTAAATGGCATTTACAACTTTTTACTTTACCACACAGAGATTATCTCATCTAGAAACATTTCTTTTTCCTTTAACCTTTTATATTAAAATATATTTCCACATCTTGAATCTTTTTCTATCTCTTTTTTAACCGTTAACCCTTTTTATAAATTCACATTTGAAACAACTCTTATAAAATTTCTGATTTAGACAAATTACTCCACTTTAATAAGATGAAAGACTTTCATGTTTTTTATGATACTATAATACTATAATTGAAACCAACTGAAATTTTTTTTACTCTTTGTATATAAATTACACATGATAGAATCTTAACACTTAGTAACCTTGTTTTAACAAAGACACAGACCAAAGCAATATTAAACCTTTTTTCCATTCACCAATTTATGAAAACACACATAATGTTTAAATATATTACCTTATGGAACTTAATAAGTAAAGAGTACTTGATCTTATATTTAGTGGTTGATATTTTAACACTTTAGCTTTGTAAATTAATTAGATGTCTGTAAAAACCAAGATCTTAGACAAGTGTAGTAAACAGAACTAGCCATCTCTTTCTTGAAGAAAAATCCTTCTACAGGATACCATGGTGGTCCCATTGATATACTTAATAACTCGTCTTTAAAAAGCCATGGGCTACATTTTTGTATTGTATCAACATATGCCTTAACTGTTCTTGGTCTTACTGGGGTGCCTCCTTCCTCTAACAATTTCTCTTGCTCGGAGGCGAACAACTTCAAACCTTGAGTCAACCATTTTCCCCAGTTTGCCTGAGAAAGTTCTAGGAACAGGCAACTTGAAATAAAAACAAAATAAATCAAAACAATAACACGTTGTTTTTTGAAATGTTCACCCATTCTTTCTCTCTTCCTCAAGGGTGAGAAATTTCACTTACCTCTAAGATTCAGAAGTTCCCCATACGGGCCACCAAATGCCACAGTCTGGCTGGGCACAAATGCCGCAGTCTGGCTGGGCACACAATCACGAGCCACCACACAGCTTGTAGATTCAAACAGCAACTCTTTATTCCCGAACTCACACCAGCCGTCTACAATCACGTTCTGGGGAAATCCACGTTCTCTGCCCAAATCCACCTTCTCTCCCAAATTCACCTCCACTGGGCTTCTATCTCCAAAATATACTGTCTGAATCCCGTGAGAACTCAAGGGGAACTCAGGCAGCAGGATACGCCCTATTCCCAGCAGGAATAATCTTAAACCTTAAACCTGGAACCTAAACTGGGAACACCCTAAACAAGATTATCTTAAAACCGGGAACACCCTAATCTGCCTTGGTCCTTGAGCAAGGTCACGTACATTCAATGTCACTGCAACATGTCAGCAACATGGGGTACGCTGGCAAGGAAATTGTCATACCTACTTGGCTAATGGCTCCCAGCACTCATCTCTTGGTGCCCACGAACAAGCTTCTCTGGAGTGCATATCTAGGAGCGGAATTGCTGGGTGATGAGGTCGGAGCATGTTAAACTTAACTAGGAAGTGATAAGCCATTCTTTATGGTGGCTCCAATTTGCCCTACCTTCAGCAATGTGGGTAGTACTTCCAAATGCTCCACATCTTTGCTAAAACTCACAGTGACTTTTGAATGTTGGAGGTGTGAAATAGTGGTTTCAATTTGTATTTGTCTAACTACTAATCAGGTTGGACATTTTCCCCTATATGTTTATGGACCATTTCTGTATCTTCTGTGAAATGCATGTTCAGATCTTCTGCTCATCTTTTATGTGATAGCTTCTATTTCTCTCATTGACTCAGAGCTGTTCTTGACCTCTGATGCTAGTTTTTGTTGGTTACCTGTGTGGCAAACATCTTGCTCTTCTCTTGGTCTTGTTCTAGTATTTGGTTGTGGTCTTTTTATAACAGAAATTCTTCATTGCACTACAGTCAAATGTGTTCATCACTTCCTTTGAGTTTACCCCCTTATCTTTCTTAAGAAAATCTTCCTTTTTGAACATTCAATAAATCTTTTATTTTAGGATAGTTTTAAGTATATAGAAAAGTTGTAAGAGCATTACAGGGTTTTTACTCCACACCCAGTTTCCCTACACTCACCACACTAATGAATAAAAATATTGCTAAATACTATTATCTAAATATAAAGTATAAAAAAATCATTTAGATTTGTTTAGTTTGCCTGCTCCTGGATTCCATCTAGGATGTCACACTGTCTCTTTAAACTTCCTTATTTTGGGTGCTCTTACAGTTTTTGAGGAGAACTGGTCAGATATTTTGTAGAATGTTCTTTAATTTGTTTTTGTTGTTATTGTAGTTGTTTTGTTTTTGGTACTGGGATTGAACCCAGGGGTGCTTAACCATTGAGCCACATCCACAACCCTTTTTTGTTTTATTTTGAGACAGGGTCTTGCTAAGCTGCTTGGGGCCTCACTAAGTTGCTGAGGCTGGCTTTGAACTTGCAACCATCCTGCCTCAGCCTCCTGAGCTGCTGGGATTACAGGCATGTGCCACCCCACCTGGCAATGTCCTTCAATTTAAGTTTCTCTCTTCTTCTTTTCAGAAATTATGGGTTTTAGGGAAGAACACTACAAAGGTAAATCCCATTTTCATCCAATCATATCAAACGTATATACCATTAATAATTATTTACCACTGATATTGTTAAGTTTGCTCACCTGGCTAAGTAAGACTGTCAGGTGTCTCCACTGTGGAGTTAAGTTTCCCATCCCTTTCCAAACTGTGCATGTTAGAAGAAAATCTCAAGGTACATGCTGCACTGATGAGTAAGGAGTCATGCATCACCTCCTTGAGTGGATGGTATCTGTGCAAATTATTTAGAATTCTTCTTATAGGAAATTTGTCTACTCTTCTCTGCTTATTTACTTATTCTACTTATTCTATTCTGTTTATCATGAGTTTTTATTTATCATATGTGGAAATTGTGTTATTAGCTTTTTATTGCTGTGACCAAAATATCCAACAAGAACAACTCAGAGGAAGAAAGATTTATTTTGGTTCATGGTTTCAGAGGATTCAGTCCATGACTGGTTGACTCCAAGACAGAAACATCATGGTGGATGGATGTGGTAGAGTAAAGATGCTCATCTCATGGTAGCCAAGAAGCAGAGAATAGTCTAGGGAGAGATAAACCCACCCCAGGGATGCCTCCAATGACCTACTTCTTCCAACTAGGTCCCACTTCCTGCTAGTATATTTAGCTAGCAATGAATTAATCCACTGATAAGGTCAGAATTTTCATGATCAAATCATTACCTAAAAATCCCATCTGGGAATCTTGCTGCATTGGGGACCATGCTGTCCCTGATGTTCTTTGAGGCTACATTCCAGATCCAAACCATAACAAAGGGTGTAATTCAAGTTTCTCCCTGTTAGAGGGGTATGTTACAGATGAGCAAGGGAGGAGGCTGGAATGAACTTTGTGGCTTTAAAAGAGAATTGATGACTTTAATACAAACTCATGTTTAGCTTAATAAAGATCCCGATGAATAGGTACAGAAATAATTATAGATATGTATATACACACATATATAGTACACATACACACATATTTCCTAGCTTGGTTTGCTGAGAGGGTCTAGAAACAAGATACCCCAATAGCATGCCTGGTGCACAGATCTCAATTTCTAATACCATTCTTCAGTAAAAGGAACCAGAGCTCTTTGGAGAAGTGGCTGATTCTAGGGACAAACATGGAGCATTTCGTAATGCCAGCAACTAAGAAGTTAATCAGAAATACACACACACACACACAAACACACACACAAAATGATGGGGGTGGTGATAGCATCAAAGGGATACAGGAGTCAAATAAAAGAGGTCTTTATGGCCAAAGTTGGAATAATTTGAGCCCCCAATAAATAATGGAATATTGGATTATAACCTAAAATAATCTTCATGGAGTTCTATCAGTATTCTACGCTATCTTCTAAGAGTTTTTCTTAATTTTGAATTTCCCCTTTTAAGTCTCTTGTCAAACTATAGGTAGTTTGTGTGTACTGTTTGGAGTAAGATCCAGTTTCATCTCCTTCCATATGATAACTAGCCTTATGTATTTGACAGCCCCTCTCCCCCCACTAATATGCGATACCTATTCTGTTACAAATAAATATCCACATGCACGTGGGTCTGTGTTTCAATTCTGATTTATTGGTCTATTGCCTTTCTGTGTTTTGTTATTTCATAAATTATTATAATTTTATACTATGACTTGGTACTGGGCAGAGGAATTACCCACCTTGTACTTCTTCTCTTTTCAAATCAGGAGTATTTTGTCTGTATTTGACCCTTAATTTTCCCAAACAATCTTAGAAATAGCACTTCCAAGAAAAATTGTTAGAATTTTTATTGTAATTGCATTGAATTCACAATTCAATTTTGTGGTACTAGAGATTGAACACAGGGGCCCTTTACCACTGAGCTAAATCCCCAACCCTTTTTATTTTCTATTTTGAGACATGATCTCACTAATAGACAAGGCTGGACTTGAATTTGTGATCCTTCTGCCTTAGCCTCCTAAGTCTCAGAAATTATAGGTATGTACCTATAGGTATGAGCCTGGCACATAATTCAATTTTGTAAATAAATGGCATTTTTATTACATGTGTCTCCTTAGCCAAGAACACAATGTATCTCTTCATTTATTTGATCTTCTCTAATATGTTACACAACTGTAATAGAGATGTGTAATTTTCTCCATGAAGAACTTGAACACCTTTTCTTATACTTTATTTCCAGTAATTTAATTTCCATTCTCTTTATTTTTCCTTTTCTTACTGTTTTTTGAACTCATATGCTTTTCCCCTATCCCCTAACTTCTTTTTTTTTTAAATATCTTTACTTCATTTATTTATTTTTCTGTGGTGCTGAGGGTCAAACCCAGTGCCTCACATGTGCCAGGTGAGTGCTCTACTGCTGAGCCACAACCCCAGCCCTCCCCTGACTTCTTAAATAGAATACTTAGCACATTAATTTTGAACATTAGAAGTATTTTACTGCACCGGGTGTGGTGACACACACCTGTAACCCCAGCTACTCAGGAGGCTGAGGCAGGAGGATCGCAAATTCAAGGCCTTTCTGGGCAATGTTAGTAGACCCTCTCTGAAAATTTTTAAAAATGAAAATGGCTGGGGATGTAGCCCAGTGGTAGAGCACCCCTGGGTTCAATCTCCAGTACTGAAAAAATAGAAAAAAAAGTGCAACCATTTGCAGCTATAACACATGGGCTCCACCATCAGATGCCTGGGCCCACTTCCTGCCTTTGCTATTACTGGTTGTGCCATGTCATTAGCCTCTTTGAGCTTCAACTTGTTCATTTATACCTGTCTGAAAGTTGTTATGAAAATTAAATGAGTAAGATATACATATTGTTGACATACTTTGGTTTACTGCTACCATTTTATTAAGCACTTTGTCCTGATTTTGATTCTGTTCCTTGTGCATAAAACAACACCTGCCACAAGGTACAGTCTAGGTAAATATTAGTATTATACTTCTCTGTGTAAGTATTATTTTAGCTTCATCCATAAATTTCAATATATAGTATTGCTATTAAGTTCTAGGTATTTTCTCTTTTACATAATAGTTTGTTTTCAGACACATGTTTTAGAATTCCCTATTGTTAAGGGCTTTTCTTGGGCTCCTTGTTATTGACACTGGGGTATTCTTTAGTATTTCCAGTTACCCTCCTTTCCTGGACCTGGGGGAAGGTTGTCCTTCACTGACTCCTGAAGTTGTGGTCACGTGATTTTTCTCTGGCCAGTGAAATGCAATGAAGGTATTTATGAAAGCAGCATTCTACACACTCTTTCTCTTTCCACAAGGACTGGGAAAACACGGGTGAAGATGCACTAGATCAGAGTAGTCTAGAACACAGAACCACACAGAGAGCAGCTACTCTGGAGGGTTGTCTACACCTTGAGCAAATAATAATAATAAAAGTAATAATAAATTTTTGTCCTATCAGGTTACTCAAGGCTTTTGTTGTTGTTGTTTGCTTGTTTCTCACACTAGGGATTGAACCAGGGCACTCTACCACTGAGCCCTTTTATCTTTTATTTTGAGACAGTGTCTTGTTAAGTTGCCTAGGTTGGCCTCCAGCTTTTAATCCTCCTCTCTAGCTTCCCTAGTCGCTGGGATCACAGGTCTATGCCACTATGCTAGACCTGCTATTCGAGTTTTGATGTTGTTACCACAGCATAACTTACCCTTTCCTGATTGATATTACTTCTTTTTAGTTGAATTGTGGTCAAATATTCCTATTGGTATAAAAGCAGTCCTTTAAACCTGTTGAGGCTAGCTTAAGGGATAACGTGTGGCCAATTTTCATAAACATCCCATGTAGTGCTCAATAATACTTATTCTGGGGTTCAGTGAATTAGAC